TTTGAAAATTTTTCAATCCTGTGATATGTCATAATACGATAATGATATCAGTCTACTACAGCTCGATAGCTACTGCATGTACAGGAACGTTAACAGGGTGTCAAAATCCAATTTTTTGAAATCAGTATTTTATTATTCTATTGGTGAGTACCCAACTGGCTTTTGATTGTACGAGCCATGGTCGTATGACTACACACCATCAGATTCTGACTGAAAATCTGAAAAAAATGGCTTTCTCAGGAAGAAAGTATTGAAATCAAGATTCCGTCAGAAATGATCTCAAGATTGTCGACTTGTGTCAGACGTCTTCTATTTTTACTGGATAAATTGACAACTAGTGAGGAACAATCCTCTAAATATACCCGTATACTGTACAAGATTCAAGTCTTAGTTTTGGCTAAGCTAATCTAAAATTTGACTGAGTTGCTTTGGTTAGAACATATATCCTTTAATACTGTTTTCTTCTGGCCTACAAGCGACCATAGGAGATATATTTCCGAATAGGACTATTTGTTCGTTAACAGAGTGAGTATAGAACACTTACTATACTACCTTTTATTTAATGTATAAATGAATGTTGAATTTTGTGGTCTTAGTCGTATGTCTTGATATCTGTATATAAAATAAGTTTCGGTACGAGGCCTTATTTCTTTGTGACGTGTTTAATATTCTGAGAAGATATCCACTGATGATGACAGCATATGCGCAAGTATGAAGTCCTCACTTTAATTACTATTAATTTTGTACGAAAAGTCGCTCCGGCACACCCACTACCAGTGAAATATTCACTTTCGTGAGCACGCGTTTTCCTCGTCACAGCGACTGATTTTTTGGTCTTTGAGACCTACCTCTTAATATGTGTATATAATATAAGCAACTATTCACTTGATCATAGAAGCGCGACATCACTATCAATTGCAGACATTCCGCTTTTTCACTTGGTCATTAGTCTACTGCATCTAATCGGACCCAATTTTCTACAATGAGCTAGTGAAGAATGAGACTTAGCCAGATAGTAAGTGTATGCTCCAAATATCAGTTTTAGTTGTCCGCATTCGTTTGACAATAGTCATTCTATTTTCTGTTCTACGGACCGAGATTGCTGTATAAGAAGATGCTGTGTGACAGAGTGATGAAATTTATTGATGAGTCATCACAAATGAAACAATGTATAACTGAAATATTGAGAGCGTTTTTCTGATAAAAGTCAACGATCTGAAATGAGATGAGAGAATGACTTCTTTTAGAATTGTTGATCTCAAATCAAAATGGCCATTGTATTGCTGTATCCAAGATGCTTGGCAGAGTCAAAACGAAATCCGTTGCGATGCATTCGTGGGGAAAAGTGGCGTTGGACTGCGAGCACATTTGTAGAGGCAGAATAGAAGCAGAAGCGAATGATTTTGTTGTTTCACACTGTCAGCTAATCTTTATCGCTTCTCGGCCTTTTCGGCTAAGATCAAAGTGTAGTATCTGTTCTCGTCGGTTTGAAAGCCGGCGTTCGGTACATCGTACCGAAGCTCTTTCAAGCTGATTTTTGGAATCGGATCGGGATCAACCGTGTTTACACGGTCTCGATCAGGATGGGTCCGACACTGCAGTAAAGTCGGAATCTGTCCACTCCCACTTCAGTGGGAACACTTTATAAAACAGTGAAATGACCAAAAGATGCCTTGAGACAATATTGTAGTCTACATTCATGTGCGATAGTGGACGATAATTCTTGATGTGTTTTCTTCAGGTGTGCCTGGTTCATCTTGCTCGGTCAATAATAAAATATCGCAGACAACGTCGAGAACCATTTAGAAACAGCTAATAAGAAAAAGAAAAGTCTATGATGGACATCTATCTAGATTAGCTGAACAATATTACGTAGATTCTGTCCGTGTTAAAATTCATGAGATGGAAAGTTCAAAGTCGATTTGGAAACTTATAAACAAGTTAAATTAAATGGAAATATTTCATAGATACTCCATTGTGTGGTCTAATTTTTCAATGTTCACGATCAGGCATGAATCCATCATACAACAAGTACAGAAGAATGACCAAGCACCATGAGTTATCTTCGATCAGATCATGTAATTCAGCAATATGAGTGTTTTTGTTCGACTTTTTTTGTTTTTCGGATATTTTATAATAAATCATGTTGGTTAGTGTCACCACTTACATCGTGTACGTGTTCAATTGGCCTCAAGCAATACACCTGCAAACATTCAGTTGGATTAGGTATTTTATTCAACATGTACCCGGTGACAAACACAATACGTTGTGAACCAATGGGTAAGAGAAAAAGTGGTCCGAAAAAGGTTCTTACAGCTTTGTTGCTATAAAGTTAGTATTTTTGTTGTATAACGGGTGGGCCAGATAAACCCGGCCACTTTGGTTCTGTTTTTTTGGTCCCCTTAACTGTAGTTGCAGATAATCATTTTATGCTCAATCGATACAGGATTTTGCGCTCTACAAATCTGTAAGTGTTGTAGATAAAATATATTTTCCATTTGTTCGAAAAGTCATGAAAAGTGACGGCCTTCAAAAGGTGATACTGCGATTACATGAACAAGGCTTGAGTAGCCGACAAATTTCGAATCAACTCGTGGGTCAAGTCAGCAAAACAACGATCAACGACTGGGTAAAAATGTGTCGCAAATTCGGTGAGCTCAGTTTGAAAAGTCCACCTGGTCCAACAACAACAAAGACAAAGAGATTGGTGCAACAGGTGATACAACATCTTCTGCGTAACAAGAAGAAAAAATCTGCAAGAAAATTGGCCAAATCACTGAATGTATCAAGAACAACCATCCGTCGAGTGATTAGAGATGATCTGGGTCTGAAATCGTATGTCAAACGTGTTGCACCGAAGCTCACGGACACACAAAAACAAAAAAGATTTTCGTTTGGAATTTGGGCAAGAAAGAATGTCAGAAAATCATTGGTAAGAAAAATCTTGTTTTTGGATGAAAAACGATTCGATATTGACGGTGTATATAACCGTCAAAATGATAGAATATATGCTCCGAATCGTGAACAAGCTGATGAAAATGGTGGCATCCACCGAAAAACAAAATTTCCTCAAGGTGTGATGGTTTGGTTAGGCGTATGTTATGACGGTGTGACACGCCCAGTTATCATTGAAAATGGTACGATAAATCATCAAAGGTATATTGATGAAATACTGCCAGTCACACTAAAAGATGATCGGGAGTTGACGGGAAATGAGTTTACATTTCAATAAGACTGGGCACCGGCGCACAAAGATCATCACATGCAAACATGGTGCAAGGATCATTTTTGGGATTTTTGGCCAAAATCGAGATGGCCACCAAATTCGCCCGATCTCAACCCTCTCGACTATTCCATTTGGCACGGACTGTGTGAGCAGATGAACTGGGGCCAAATAACGAATAAAAAGACTTTAATTTATCAGTGCCGGTGTGAAAAAGATCCGAACAGAAGTCGTGCGTCGCAGTGTGGACTGTTGGACTATTCGAGTTTATCGAATGTTGCAGAATGTGAATATGTTTTTTAAATAAAACATATGGTTTGAAAGAGCAGAAAATTCTCTATCGACTGAGCATAAAATGAGCAACCGGAACCACGGGAAAGGGGATCAAAAAGCAAGAACAAAAGTGGCCGGTTTTATCTGGCCCACCCGTTATATTAAATATAGATTTGGTTTTGTTGTAGCTCAGATATCTCCAATCTGATCCTTTACCACCAACAGCTCATTATGCAAAGAGAACTTAAAACATTTTCTTTTTGAAACTTCATTTTTATGCAATCAATCCTACTTTTCACGTTGTACAAGTCTATTAAATATCATTAAATAAATCCTTGTTGTTTTCTGTGAAGTATCACTCAGAGTTCATAGGATCGTTTCAGCTAAAGTTTGTCAGTGCATTTGTACTATTTGACAAGAATGAATTAAATTTTTTTACACTTAGAGTACTTACAGCCTGTCCTTCCTATGTATTAACTTTTTCTAAATAAATGCATAGACTGTTTTTTTTCTACAGCAAAAATACATTAACAAATATATGCCACGATAGTAAGTCTTTGAACTTATATGAAAAAATCTAATTGAGCTAGTGAGAACAATTGATTATTTTTTCAAGTTCAGTAGGCTTTGATTGGATTTACGTTTTGCTTCTACTTGATCTTGAGTTTCATGTTTTTGGTGAAAATTTCCATAATTTTCAACGTGAAAATCCGAAAAAAATCTAGTGGCCGGATAAGCTGGAAATACTCAGCAATGGAAAGGAATTTCAAAAAAAAGCGACGCGTACTTTTTCTGCTTGCGTAAAGACAAACTGAATGTGATATAAATCAAATTTACATTCCTTAATAAACTAGATAGATTTCTGAGATTTGTTTAAGCCCGGCAATATGTAAGTGTCAAAGGCAAACGTTGGTGGATTCCAAACAATGGCGAAGCAAATGAGGAAGTAGAAGATCTGGAAACGAAAAGATAATAGTCAATTACGATGGTATAAAATATTCGTGATGTGCTAGTATCCCCTGAGCCAAAAAAGGAAGATAATTTTTTATGACTTTATTCCTGTTACGATTGTTTCAGTGTGCATACAATTTACTTCTCTTCTTTAATCTAAATTGAGATTAAATTTTCTCTAACCGTCACGAAACATCGAATTCATCAGCAAAAGTTGTAGAATCGTAACGATCTGTTTTCCAATCCGCGCCAGCGATTACTATTGAGAAATAAATTATTTCATTATTATTTCACCAAACATAAGTTATACTATTTTTAACCTACATATGAATCAACAAACTTTACTATAAAATGTATATTATTCCTGTTACCCAAGTTAAACCAAAAAGGACTTGGGAAATCAAACTATTACGGATATGAAAAAAATGAGAATTATAATGAACAGTATTTTGGACAATAAGAATAGAAGCAAGAAATCATCTAAAATTATCACAGTAAGTGATAAATCATCGACTTATAATTCGCACTGCAATCAGCATACGACAATCATCCACACGACTGTTAGCAAAGGATCAAATGTTGATGATCAAGAATCACATATAGTTTCGCATACAAACAATGAGAGTAAGTGATAATATTAAAGTGCCTCCCTTCTCCACGTCAAATAGTCATCCTCATTTGTTGAATTTATCCTCTTAACTAAAAGATTAAAATTATTGTAGATTAATAAATTCAGAAACTTCTAGGAAGTTTTAAAGTTTGAACCACAAACAAGTGTATTCATAAGTATTTTTTATTTTAAAAGTTTAAAATAATCTTTTGGGTTTTGATGAATTAGCAGTTTTATTTTAAGGAATTAATAAAGGGTTTTCTTTTCCTGAGTCATATTTCCATAAGGTAACATTGGTAGATTATAGGAAATATTTAGAGTCCGTCAAATTTCGTCCCGATGTGTCCGGAAAGCGCGGTAAAAGTGAAACTTCCGTGACACATTTTTTTGGCTTGGAATTTGCAGTGTGCTTCCGTGACACATTTTTACCGCGGTTTCATGACACTTTTACGCAAGGTTCTGCCAGGGAACCCTGTTACGGAAGCCTTGTGGTGGCAAACTCACATTTTGTTCATGTGCCTCTTGATAGGCTTTCTTAACACACTTTTGTGATGATTCTGTGACGAAAACCAGCAGAGGCAGTAGGAACTGACTCTATAGCAGATACCTTTCTACTACATGATTTGTGTTACGGAAACCTGCAAAGCATGTGAAGGAATAACATCGGCTTCCGTCGTGGAACCACTTCAAAAATATGTTTCGGACGCACGGTAAAAGTAAGTAACTGGTGAAATGGTCCACTTGCTCAGAAAAATCTTTTTAGAAAAGAAACTGATAGAATTTATGCACTTAAACGGTTTCGTACCGTTCTTCTCTTCTACGAAATCTAAAAGGGTTTAGAAATGGTTGCACTTCTCTATACCCCTTTAGGTTTCGTATACAAGGTTTCGTATTTACAGAGCAGGCAGATATTTGACAATGAAAGCCAATTAATGTGTAAAAAGCATAATAATAACGATGTACTGCATGAACAGTAAAAGTTATATATTATGCCGGCGCCGAGCCCGACATTTATTTCATATAATCCCAGACTTTCAGTCAAGGGAATTTGTAACTTAACAGATGCCCTAGTGAAGCTCAAGCACATGACTTTCTTGGATTTCTTGAGTAAGAATCTCTTGGCGAGACATTTACTCATGCAAAACGCATTTTTTTCCGATGTCATGTGCTTGAGTTCCGTATCTCAAGAAACTCATGCGCATGAGATTCTTATCTCAAGCGCTTGAATATCTCATGCGCCTGACTTTCTTGAGCCCAGCTTTTCTCTTTCTTCTCTTTTCGATCTCCTTTAACCAATAAAATTCGAAATTTTGATTTCGTTCTTTCAATATGAATATATAGAAATAGATTGGACATGTCTGTGTATAGGGCAGACATGTGGACGTCATATACATTCAACAAAATAATGAACATTGTATACATAGTCATTTCTTCTTTTTTTAACCTATTGTGAAGATGAAGACCATTTTCACTCGCATTTTTTACACGTTTTAACCTGCGTTTTCTTGCTGATTTGTCACAAAAACTGGTTAAAAAATCAAATAATTTGAGCCTTTAACTTCGAGGTTAGGCATGCACCAAACCGATAGTTCGGTGACCGAACGGTTCGCTACTGAACATGTTCGCTGCCGATCAGCGAGCCCTAGCTTGGGATGGTTGCATGCCTGATCTGGACTAAAGGCAAATTGAATGAAACTGAAGCTTTTGAAGGAAGTAACCAGTGAGAAAATAGATTAACTAAAGCACAATGTGAGCGAATGTGTCTTCTACCGGATTGCTATCGAACGTGTTTGGACGAAGATTGTAAATACGATAGTTTATATCTTTCTCATCAGAGACATCGACGAGCGCTCTGCTGACAAACTATTAGGACAAAGTACCGGGAACAGGATGCTAGATTTGCTCTAGCAAAGAACTGATATTAGCGTCTAGTATCTACAGATACGCTTCTCTGTAAGTCCAAGAGTAAATGTTTTCTTCATATGCAGTAAACGTTACCTTATCGGTAAAACTCCAAGGCGAACCGTAAAAAACATCAACTTTCCTCACTTTTATTTTGAGATCAAATTCCAGTCGTATGCCGAACCAAAACTGAGAAATACAACGCGAAGCGAACCTAGTCAGTCTGTGGGGAAAATTTTTCTCGAAGAAACACATCACAGATTATCGAACAATTGTATTCAGTAGTGTAACAAAAGATAACGTGAAGATTTTGGAGGGTGGACTGAATAGTAGAAAGTCAAAATTGCTGTATCCTAGCTTTGAACTGTCATGAACTTTCCATTGAAAATGACTTCTTTTCCTTTGTGGATAAAAATCATGGCATAGTGAGAATGCTCGATGGTCGAGAAAGACTAAAAATTGATTGCATCATGTTCTCGAAGAAAAGTCCGAGTAAAACATGATGTAATCAAGTATGAAACTAGAGCTATTTAAAAAGCGGAAAATCGATAATGCGAGGGCGGAGTTATCTTTGTTTTTGTATTGTATCTATAGTTTGTTTATTGAGCTTCGTGTGAAGCTATCTGCCCAATAAAGAAGAAGAAGGAAATACTTCGCTCTTCGACTCATAAAGGTTTAAGAGATACCAAGAATTCGGATTTAAGATGTTAAATCAAGTTCATGTTAGATTAAATCACTTGCGCGCCGTTGTTAATCAAGTTTTAAGTTTCTGTTTCAGATGGTTGCTAGAGAATCTGATTACATCGAATCTCGGTTGTTCTTATTTCGTTTCATTTCGTAAATTCTAAGAAAAAATCTAGCCTGTCCGCCGCCTCCCCATCGCCTGCCATTCATTAGTTTGGAATGTCGAGCGTTTAACTACTAGTATCACAACAACCATTCCGTTACATTTTCTGTACTTCATTACATAAACATAATATCTCACATCGTTGAAACAAACATCAAACAATCGGACAATCTGCTGATTCCACATCGCGTTTGCGGGAGCAGCAACGCTGCAGTAGTTTTTGTCAACCTGTTGACTCCAAACTGCTTTTGCGGAGCAACAGCGCCACACAGCATCACAGCCTGCGTCCTGGTCAACACATTACTAAGTCTGGTCGCAGGGAACATGTGTAGGCCGCGATTCGACGGTGAACGCCGATGAGAATGCTAACCATCAACGTTCTCGGACTTGAAGTGGCAAATAGAGATTTGCGTGCAACAAAACCAA